GGATATATTCAGCCCAATTGAATCCACCCTTCAAGCCTTCATCGCAAATGAGCTTCATATATTCCTTGTTCGTTGACGTATCACCCGTTGGACAAAGAAATATCCCGACAAGGTACAATAGAACTCGGGCCTTCAGCTCATCCCCCCAGTAAGATCCACTTTTGATATCCTCTTCAACTTCAGCATATGTCGCCTTATGATTCAAACCATATTTGGAGGCAAGTGCTTTCCAGTTCTTACTCCTACAGACTTCTATAACACTTTTGCCTTTGTTTTGTACCCCCAAGACAGCTGCAGCAGTCGATACCCCCAGAGGGAATGAATAATCACCATACTTAGCCATACATTGACTGACGTCAAATTGTGCCATCAAGGATCGACACAACTCCCTCCGAATAGGTCGATCCCTTACTCCGATCAACGATCCAAAACCTATTTCTCCCAGCACATTCAACTGACCCTTCTCCTTAAGGTGTTTAATTAATAAATTCACCCTTTTAATGCTGCATCTTGTCGACATTTCCTACATTTTTTAACAATATATAATGTTATAGTTCTTATATATTTTGTATCAACGTATTTACAAGTTTAATGAATACCTTATTTTCATGTGCTTTCCTCCGTTCTTTGTATTCTTTACTATCATTCCTTGACTGTGTGATGTAAGGTTCCTTTTCAGCATCACTCATTGAATTCCATTTGGACCTCACATCTTTTTTCACCTAATATTAAACATAAACGTTTCTTAATCAATACATTAACACTAAATACTAATACTACTCAATGTCAATTTCATTTTACATACCGAACCGCTCTGTGTGCCATCTCCCTTCATCCTTTTGCATTCGACCATACTGTTAACATTTAAAATTTGTAATCAATTTAAAGTTTATCGATACTTTAATCCAATTACCATTTCAACAATAATAACAAAAAGACATTGATACTTACTAGAAGTACATATATCCACCCTTTGGTTGCTTTCGAGTCTCGGCCTCAATTTCAAAGTCATCTGCTCCACCAACAATTTTCCAACCCATTGACTCCATTTTTCCTTCATATATCAGTTTACGCAAATCAAATTATTTTGTTACACACACTTTATTCAATATACAAATATAGATAACTACTCTTGTGGTAAAACGGTTTTCTTCAAAAGAATTTGAATGGCCACACCAAAATGTGTTGGCACATTTATACAACCTATAATATCATTTTCTACCTATAATATTTAATAAAAGTATCGACATTTATATTTTTCCTTGAATATCTATTTCTACCTGCAATCGGTCCCAAATGCTTCCTTACTCCAAAACCCCAAACAACACATAAAAAACCCTATCGCGATTACTGTAATAATAAAAAATTAGGGTTTTGACAACATACTTTTCGATTCGACTGCAGCAACAAACAAACAAACTTCGCTTTAGAAACGCCTTCTGAAATGCAGCAACAATTACGCTTCGATTTAAAAAACTCGTCCGTTCTATCTTTTTTCAGAGGATATTTAGCTATGGCCTTTATATTTTCATCGGATATGTTATTTATATTTAATCGATACAAATACAAAAGTGTCGATACTTTTATGTCAGGTGTCGATACTTTTGAAAGGATAATTACCTATTTCTTTGAAAGTGTCGATAATTTATTACACGTACTTACGAAAGTATCGACACTTTCAATATATCCGGTATCATTTTACCGGTTTTATCATTTTGATACCGGTTTTATCATATTTTTACCTGTTATATCGTTGTGGATCGATATATTTTTTTAAAGTATCGACACATTATAGGCGCTATAACTGCTTCTCTTTTAAATTCACAAAGTGTCGATCCTTATATAAAGTATCGACACTTTTAATATATCCGGTAACATTTTACCGGTTTTATCATTTTGTTACCGGTTTTATCATATTTTTACCTGGTATATCGTTTTGGATCGATACATTTTTTAAAAGTATCGACACTTTATAGGATTTAAAACTGTTTCTCTTTTAAATTCACGAAGTGTCGATCCTTATATTAAAGTACCGACACTTTAAATGTATCCGGTAGCGCTTGACCGGTTTTATCATTTCTATACCGGTTTTGTCATAGTTTTACCTGTTATATCGTTTTGGATCGACACATTTTTAATTTGGATCGACACGAACCGGTAGCACAATTTTTTAATATTTCTTCATGACTTAGACCTACTTTTATAAGTATGAACACTTTTATAAAAATGATATATACTTTTTTTAAAGTTATGTAATTTATGTTTAAATTTTTTTAATAGTGTTTCATGTTTTCCACCTACAATATTAATTTAATAATTTAATTTACACAAAATATTATTTGATTGTTTTGATATTTTATAAAATATTATTTAGAATTTAAATTTAACAATATTAACCAAATATAATAATAAATATGTTTTCAACAGTGAAGTAAGTATGAACACTTTTATAAAAATGATATATACTTTTTTGAAAGTTATGTAATTTATGTTTCAATTTTTTTAATAGTGTTTCATGTTTTCCACCTACAATATTAATTTAATAATTTCATTTACACAAAAAATTATTTGATTGTTTTGATATTTTATAAAATATTATTTAGATTTTAAATTTAACAATATTAACTAAAGATAATAATAAATATATTTTCACAGTGAAATAAGTATGGACACTTTTATAAAAAGGATAGATAATTTACAATATAAAAGGTAAAAATATGACAAAACCAGATTCATTATGACAAAACCGGTAAAATTTACTTGATATGTTAAAAGTATGAACACTTTTATAAAAATGATAGATACTTACCGATAACCAAAGTTTACCGCTTACCAAATTTTTTAATAATTTTTCATATTTTCTACCTAAAACATTATTAGTTGTCAACATAATAGGTACCGCTAAACCGAATTTATTAAATACATTTTAATATATCCGGTAATACTGTATATTAACCGTATATTAACCCGTATTTTCTGAGACATTCCACTAATCGAAGGGTCAAAGAGAATATTATAATTAGTGAGAGAAAAGGAAAAGAAAATCATTAAAAATGGGAAACACGCCATCATCTTTGCTTCTTGTTCAATTCAAAAATCAACCTAGAAGATCCTGCAGATTCTGGATGATATCTGCCAGATCTTGCTTTCCAAACTGTCAGATTTTCTTCCATGACCAACCTTTTAAAACTCCATTTCTCCTTCCTCCTTATCCAACCTTCTTCTCCACCTTTTTTGCTTTGTTCAACAATCATGGGAATGGCTGCTCAGACTCAGTTCCATGTTCTTGCTGTTGATGATAGTCTCATTGATAGAAAACTCATTGAGAGGCTTCTCAAGACTTCTTCTTATCAAGGTAAACTTTCGTTGAAGAACATCTCTTTAACTGAAGTTGTTTGATTCAGACACAGATCAAACACGGGTTGTTGATGTTTATGTTTCATTACAGTTACCGCAGTTGATTCTGGAAGAAAGGCTTTGGAGTTTCTTGGATTGAACAATCATGACAATGAAGATGAAGAGAGGAATTCCAGTGTTGCATCAGTTTCTTCAGATGATCAACAAGTGGGAGTGAATTTGATCATCACAGATTACTGCATGCCTGGAATGACAGGCTATGATCTCCTCAGAAAAATCAAACAATCTTCATCCTTTAAAGACATACCAGTTGTTATCATGTCTTCAGAGAACATCCCATCAAGAATCAACAGGTTTTTATAACATTTAATCATTTTTTTCATGTTTGATTCATCATGATTAGGAAGCTGACATGAATTTGATCACAATAGATGCTTGGAAGATGGAGCTGAAGAGTTCTTTTTGAAGCCAGTTCAATTATCAGATGTAAACAAGCTGAGGCCTCATCTCATGAAAGGAATTAGATCTGACGAAAATCAATCAAACATTAACAAAAGGAAGGGAATGGAAGATATTCATTCCCCTGATAGAACAAGAGCAAGATACAATGAATTGGAAGTTGTCTGATCTGCAAATCAGTTATTTTCTCAGGAAAAATTTCTTGGTTTTTGGATACAAAGTGGGATCAAGAAAGGGTTGATGATGCTGAGATCCAAACTCTGTTACCTTAAGAACCAATTCTACACAGCTCTGGGTTCTTCCTTGTATCCACTTTGCTTTATACAAAATCATTGTATAGAATTTTGATTCACATTAGAGATGAGAGAAAGCTCTACCTGGTTATGCTATAGCGTTACATGGAATCTATGTTTCCAAGTGTAAATTACCACAAGGGAAATTATAAACTCAATTTTGTTGGTTCATTTGCTCCTCTGCCTCTGTGCTTGTGTCAAGTTTTCAGTTTTAGTTCCCAGATTCTATTAATGTTTCAGATGTTCTACTTAAGATTTGTATCTCAAGGCTATCCATCCAAATGTTCTAGTTCTAGATTTATGCCTCAAGGCTATCCTCGTTACCCACTTTATGGATATAATTGTTCGAATTTATGAAATCAAAAGAAAATAACATTTCTTTTAACCCCTAAAGTCACTTGATGGAATCAAAATTGCGCCTTCGGTTAAAATATCGATATATATATTAGATGTATTAAATTTTAAATATATTTTTATTTATTCAACTTTATATCTTTTAAATTTTAAAGGTTCCATTGAATTTCATATATTTTTAAAATTTGCACACTTTAAGAATTTATACAATTTTTCAAAATTATTTTTAAAACTTTTTAAATTACAAATTTTATTATTACATATTTTAAACTTTTTATTTTATTAGAAGAGTCATTTTATTTTTCACTATATTCATATATTTTCTTTTATTAATCTGAGATGACTTAACTGCTCGAATCTAAACTTCAAACGAGAACAATACTCCCTTTACCATTAGATCACTTATGAATTCTTCAATATTCTCATATAATTTTAAATTTGATTAAAAACTATATATTAAGTCATATGATTTTTATATTTTTTAAAAATATATATATAAAAATGAATAGGGAAGCGACCTGATGCTTTTCCACTTTAGTTAGATGACAGCATTACTTTAAAATTTTTAAAAATCATCGGTTTATCGAGGCAGTTGGCCGTGCGGTTGATGACCTGATGACTGCGGTGGAGGCAGCATGCCGGACTGACCACCAGACTGCAAAAAGTGTAAGAATAACAGGTTAGTATTCTTATGAACTCAAGCAAAATAGCTGATTACAACCACTGAATCAGGCTGCTGCAATGTGGAAGAGTATGGGTACAACCCAGGCAATAGAATCAAATATGTACGATATTGTTAACGTACAACACAATAAAATGGTGGAATTTGAACAATACTGTTGATGCACGACAGTGAAGGAAATAGGATGCCTACTACCCCGATTATTAACTTGGTCGAATTGGCTCAAACAAATGGCCAATCATTCAGAAGGAATTTTCACTAAGCTATTCATTTTCTCAAACGAATTGCAAGAAAGGGAGCTTTGAGAAAGAGACGAATCACTCTAGTTATTAGCTATTCATTTAGCTAGTTTGAGTAATGGCTGGCAATCCAGATAAATTAAAAATGGATTTGATTTACCTGGTAAGGATTGAACCCTGGCATCATTGGCATCTGCCCACCCTGTGCACGATTGAATGCTCCACCCTGGGGATACATTTGGGCCCCGCCCACATTTGCTTGGCCCTGCATATTTTGCATACCTTTTGGAAAACCTCCAACTGAAGGGGCACCGCTGTTTGGTAAGGATCCTGAGTGCATTGGATTCATTCCTCTAAAATGGCCTTGTGGCATCGGAGGAGGCATCTGATTCATTGTACATTGCATACCCTAAAATTGTGAAATATTTTTCACCACCTTAAATTTGTCTCCGATAAAAGAGTAAACATAAAGAAAACACTTAGACCACAATTTACAGAAAAATTTACCCCAGCAGCACAATACATATCTTCAGCATTCCCATATCTGAGAAAATTAAATCCTTTCCTATTCCACTTCTCAAACCATAGTTTATAGAATGCCTATTTGAGAACAAATATTAACCACTGGTAATGGGAGCCTATGATTTGAAACTGAAAACCACACTTGCTAAAAGGAATAATATGATGTAAAACTATGTGAAAGATCATACCATTGGACCAGGCATTGGCATTTGATGTGATGTTGGCATTGATGATGGTCCGGGTGAAGGGACACCATGGGGAGCCATTTGTGGTGGAGGGCATTGTAAATGAGGATGTGGAAGCATGGGCATATGAGATCCAGGCTGTAGTTGTGGCATATTCGGAGGTACAATAGGCCTAGGAGGCATTTGCTGTTGTAGTGGCTGTTGTTTAATCTGTTGAGGAGTTTGTTGATATCCATGCTGCTGATTGGCTGCAAGAAGAGATGGATGTGGTCCAGGAGGAAGAGGAGGAGCTCCAAAAGGCATGGAACCTGGAAGAGGCTGCTTTTGGTCTCCTTGAGAAGACCCATCAAGAGACACATCGCAACTCCAATACCAGGTATTGCACCCTCATTTCGAGTCAATCCAGCTGCAAATGGTCCTGGAGTTGTCGGGACCTCGAGCACAGAAAAATTACCAGGCATACGAGCAACTAGTGCAAGGTTTTGCTCACCATCTCCTAGATAAAGTTCATATTAAATATAGATCAAGATATAAATGCTCCACCAAATTTACAGAACCATAATGAGTTTTACATAAATTCAAAAATATTATATGAGTGAATTATTCAGGTGAAGTGGTTAAATAAATAACTGCAACTTGTTTTCCTGCCCATTATGGGGAAGAGATGAAAATGGTAAAGAGCAATGCAATAAGTAGAAACCTTGGTTCTGTCCCTTGTTATATTTATCACGAGTAGTATCTCCTGGTCTATTTCTGCACCAAAACTTCGTCATGTGATCATTGCTACCACTGCATGATTATGCATATGAGTTAAACACCTGGTCTGCTTGGCATATAATTTGCAGATGTTCTCAAACAATTTCATTAAATTTCTATCTAAAAAAATCAAATATACATAGCAACACTTGTTAGCATCCAAAAACAGTCCATCATATCAACACCAACAAGCCTATGCATATAGAAAAACTCTCTTAACTGTTAAGATAATGCAATGAACTACAAGAAATTCGCCAAGCAAGAAGAAAAATTGTGTAGTAGACTGAGTTTACCTGCATAGAAGATATCGAATAGGATGCCAAGCAATATCCCACACGCTATTATCATGTGCATTAGGAATTTCAACCTGTGGAGTTTCACGCCTGTACATCAAGAATGATATTTTGCAATTGTAAGTTAAAAAACCCCATGTATCAGTAATTCCAAACAACTGCAATAAATACATAACAAATATTTGAAATGAAAGAAAAACCAAACTATCTTTATGATACGGAATGGCGTGTTGAATCTTATACAAGAAAGTTCAGGTAGCAGATGAGCATTTCCATAGGCAAACATAAAATGAATTTCAATATGAAAAATTAATCTAACAAAAAATGGTAGCAAAGCTGCCTTTAGTGAAATTTTTTGTTCCTTTATGGTATTATCAAGCCTATATAGTTATAACTACGATTTTAAGTTCATCGTCTACAATCTGTGAAGTTTTCACATGGTTTGATGCATATCCTAATTGGTCTCACAGGCCAACCTAATAATCTGACCCAACTATATATACCTCAAAAGACAAACATCCGAAGTAAAAGTAAAGCATATAAAGGCACACTATCTTTTGATGAGAGTATAAAAGCAAGGACAAAACAAGGAAACACAATGATGCAGTGACTACTCTGAATCAGAAAACTTACCCAACAACCCAATGGAAAATGGATCCGTCAAAACTCCCACTGACAAAATATTCTTCATGGAATGGGTGCGAAGCCAATGCTGGAAAAAATGGAGATCAATATATTTAAGATTAATCCTAATAGAAATCATGACGGGAGAGAATGTAATGATCAAACCAGATAAAAACTATAACCCACAATTTACTTAGTCTCTCAAGAGCTGTATCCCAATGGCGAATTGAATAAAAAAACTAAGTTCAAGAATACGGTAGAGGGGTCAGTTTTTAAGTAACACAAGGAGTCCACTTAGAATGTCTGACTAACCAGTCACATCCTTCCTGTGGCCTCGGAAAGATGCAAGTTCCTTCATAGCTCTGATATCATATAGCTGAAATGGGAAATACAATGAAGGAGAATATGAGAAGACAACATTTACTCCCATCAATTAAATAACAGGTGGTGCCTCGAGTTTGGCAGTAAAATCGGAATTGCAGAGAAGAGGGGTTAAGGCTATTGTAGACGTGGCATGTCATTTATGTTAAAAGGAGATTGAATCTTCGTCTCATTTATTTTTTCTCTTGTCTTGTGGCGTGGTCCCTGAATAAATTTATGAGATTTTGGAAATTTAGTTTGGTGTTACAGGCCAATGCGCAAAGCCTTATTCTAGCTTGGGATGATATGGTGCCTAATTCTTCTATTTGGCCCTTTATTTCGGCAGTGATTCTTTGGACCATTTGGAAATTCAGCAATGCCATTGTGTTTGAAGGGGGAGTGTTAAATCATGTTTACCTTTTCTTTATGGTAAGATATAGGCTCGCTACTTGGTTCCTAGCCAAGTTCAAGGATGTGTCTATTTCAAAGGATGTTCTAATCAGTGATCCCTCTCTGGGGGATTATTGCTCTCCGTCCAGGAAATCAATTATCAAAATTATGTCTTGGTCTCCTCCTCCAAAGGGCTTTATAAAACTTAATGAGGATGTAGCTGTGAGTGGAGATTAGAGGAAAAGTGGTGTAGGTGGCTTACTAAGGTGGCGTTTGGTTGGATGGAATCCCTTGGAATTTGGGGGAATTAAAATCTAATTCCACCACTTTTCCATTTTTGGTTCAAGTTTTCGAAGGGAATTGGAATCCCTCATGGCTTCAACTTTCCATCAAATGAGAGAAAGTGAATTCCATCCAAGAATTGATGTAATTCAATTCCCTTGTTAGAGGGAATTGAAATTTGACCATACTACCCTCATCAATCTTTTGGTAACTTATTCATATATAGAATAAAAATATTTTTTTTATTATTTCGGGTCGGGTCGGGTGAAACTTTATTTTGGTCGGGTCGGGTCGAGTTTGGGTTTAGGGTGAAAAATACTCGACCCGAAAATATATATAATTTTACCTTATATATTTATGAATAATTACAATGATACCCCTCTCTATATATTTTTTCAATTAAGTCACTGTTTTTATTGAATAAAAATAATTTTTTATTATTTCGGGTCGGGTCGGGTCGGATTTCTAATTCATGTATTCGGGTCGGGTCGGGTCGGGTGAAACTTTATTTTGTTCGGGTAGGGTCGGATTTTTTAAGTGTGATATTCGGGTCGGGTTTTTAAGTGTGATATTCGGGTCAAGTCGGGTTCGGGTTTAGGGTAAAAAAACCGGACCGACCTAAAAAAATATATAATTTTACCTTATATATTTAGGAATAATTACAATAATACCCCTCTATATATAATTTTTTTCAATTAAGTCAATGTTTTTATTGAATAAAAATAATTTTTTTATTATTTTGTGTCATGTCGGGTCGGGTTTCTAATTCATATATTGAATAAAAATAGTTTTTGGTATATTTTTTGGTAACTAAATAACATACTTCGATTGGAATGTATCGAAATATTGCTCTATCATTTGGTAACTTATTAACATATTTTGATTGCGATGATTTTAACTTATGATTTTTATTAGCATGATTTTTATAATTTATTAAAATGAATAATCAATCAATAAAATGAAAATTTAATATTTTTTAATTTTTTATAATATATTACTACATGTAAGTTGTAAAACAAACTAAAATAAAGCAAAATAATAAGAAGGGCAATTCTGTCATTTTATATTACTAAAATCAAATTCATCTGACATGTATGCGAACCAAACAGAGTATGGAATAAGATTCCAATTACATTTCCTGCCAACTAAACATAATATAGAATTGGATTCCAATTCCTGACAGATTCCAATTCCTTCATAGATTCCAATTCCTTCACAGATTTCAATTCCCTCATAAACATTCCAGCGAACCAAATGCCACCTAAGAGTTGAGGATGGCTCGGTGATGGCTTCTTTCCAAGAGGCTGCTGGCCCTGGTCCTCCTATTTTAATAGAGCTTAAGGCATTAAAGAAGAGCTTAATTTTCTTTGATTCGATCCAACAGCTTTGCAAGGAACGTTTGATTGTTGAAAGTGACAGTAAACTAGTTGTGGATTGGGTTAAGAATTTTGACTGTTGTCCTATTGTCTACTTAAACCTAGTAAAAGATATTGTTGCTAGGTTGAGAGTATTGGAGGGTGTTATTAGATGGGTTGCTAGGTCAGCCAATATTGAGGCTGATAGCTTAGCTAGGTATTGGCTAGTTTCTCTATTTTATTTGGGTTATTTTTTATGCTTTGGGTGTGTTATTGTAAAGGGATTGTTTATGTTTGTTTTTAAACATTATGTATCTTTTGGCTATCAATGAATTCTAAGGCACTCTTTTCCTCCTTCCGCTGATTAAGGAGCATCTTATGGTGTTCCATTAATCATGAAGGGGGTTTTTAACGAGGCCTTCTCTTCTTATCAAAAAAAATAAATTAAATAACAGCTTTGTAGAAAGAAAGAGATGCTGACCTTGATGATCTGATCCTTTCCAGCAGTCAACAACCAGTTACCATTTTGATTCCATTTGACACAAAGTACTGTGTTTTTGTGGCCATGGCTGCAAAAGACTTGCATTACTTCTCAAAACAATCAAAATGTAAGGAATACTATGGGTTTCACCAAAATATGCACTCATAAAGAGCAAAGCTCTCTCCCTGTCTTAGCATCCCAAAGCTTCACAAGGTTGTCTTTTCTGCCTAAAGAAAAGCAGACCAAGGCATTATGTAAACAAGTTGCAAAACCATCATGCAAAAAGAAGTTGGAAAAACAAACGACATACCTGAAACCAATAAGGATTTTGTAGGGTGCCAATCTACATTTTTGACATCCCAACCATGGCCTGCTTGAGTTCAAACCATGTATAGAACTTTAGGTTAATTCATGCATGCAAGAAAAAATATACATAAAATTATATTTTGAATTTAGCAGCCTAAACATTTATTGTTTTAAAGAAACCAACTGTTGTGGACGCATTTGTCAGCAAGACATAAAAGAGTCGCTCACGTAAGGTGCAAACAATCAACAATGGAGAGGAACATTGATGGCATCAAATATTATTATTATTTTAGGAAGATATCAGTTTATTATTATTAGGAGATTTTCTTCAAAAAGTATATGTATGGTATTTGGAGTCTTTCTTTATTTGCAGCCCTTGTTTTTATTTCCTTAGTTAAGTCTTTAATCCAAACAAGTAAACATACACAACCTCTAATTAAAAAGGCTGATTAACAATAATAAAATTAAGTCAGATTAATTCAATTTTAAGAGGTTTAAGAATCTCTCTCTCTCTAACAAGTCTATAGAAGGGACATTTTTAGGGTATCCGTGAGAAAGAAACAGAACTCTGTACATATCATTCAGTGACTCAATCTGTAATGCGGGACTGTAACATCAACTGATGTAATTTTGTTGATCTTTGTCCAAAATAAGTTAGTTAACGATATTATCAAATTTAAGTAAGACTGTAAAAAAGAAGCTGAATAAATAGAGTAATCAAAGTTCTCAACTCAGTCCATTGAAAGTATGATGTCCGATTCAACAATCCACCGAGTCTTAAAACTCTAAAGAATATAATCAAAGATAATAAGACCCCTTTTGATGGCTATGAGTTCCATTAAAGTAGGAGGGCCTGGACCAGGTGTTTCCTTGAAAGAACCCTTGATATCGCCGAATTCATCTCTTAATAGGCCACCTACACCACTCTTTCGCCAATCCTTACAAACTGTTGCATTCACATTCAATTTTAAATAACCCTTAGGAGGGGGATCCAGGAGATAACTTTACGAACAAAATTTTTAGTAGACCAACAAGAATCTGCAATAGATGGATTACTAATAATAGAGTCTTTAGAGATAGGTACATCGTTGAACTTGGCTAAGAACCATGAAGCTAGCCTAATCCTAGCCATGAAAAATACCTCAACCTGATCTAAAGACCTTCCTTCGAACACCACTTCGTTTCTGAATTTCCATATAGTCCAAAGCATAACTCCCGGAATAAAGGACCAAACATAAGAAGAAGACACCATATCATACCAAGCAATTAAAAATCCTTGAGAATTAACATGAAGAACCGAACTAAGTTTCCAAAACTTCATAAACTTATTCCAAAGGGACCATGCAACCGTACAGGAGAAAAATAGATGAGTGACAGATTCAAACACTTTTTTGCACATAGGACAAGAAATATCATCAATCCCCGAAACTCCTCTTTTCTGTAATCCTACATAACACTTACATCAGCATAAAATTATGCCTATGTCAAAAAAATATTCACAAGCGTGAAAGCAGAAGAATAAATAGCACAAAAGAACATTAAGAATATATACTTTATTATGCGCCCATCATCACCAGAAACCATCCAGTTGTCATCGTGACTCCAGACCATAAATCTGATGGCTTGATCATGGGCCTAAGTATTTAATGGAAAAAAGGTCCAAAGATATCAATATGGATCCTCTAATGAGAAACCTAGTTAAATAAGATATGCATCTCAATTAATGGAAATATACCTGAAGAATCATTTCAAAATTAAATGATTGTTGTAACACCCTCAACCCGTACCAAAACCGGATACGAATCCGAGGTGTCACATTGACATTTCAAAACATTTACTTGTATAAAATAGTGAGTAATTTAAAACTTTTATAACATATAACTTATTCAAAACGTTTACAAAATTATTCAGAGCTTATACAATATATTCTTTTGAATACATGCCAACTAGAACTTTATATATTAAAATACATATTATTCACCTCTCTTCTGATATGACCTTCAGTAAGGAGAACTGACCTTTCTTGCTCCACATTGCTCTTTACTCTTCTTGAAACCTACGTGTAAATAACTTACACGCTAAGTCTATGACTTAGTAAGGCAATAAACATATAATATAAACTATAACTTGTAATCATGCATGAACAATTACGACTATCACATCATACCCATACATATATCCATTCATATATCAAATCCACACATGCATATAATTATCTTCTTTCTTATCATTATCATATTACTACCATTCATATTTCTATTCTCTTGTTTATATGATCAATTATGTTCATATCATATATCTTATAACATATATAATAATCACTAACACATATATATCATATCATATACATTATATTCAATGTTATCTCTTATTAGCCCATGTACACATATGATAACTTAAGGTATGTGAGTACATTGAGGTTGTGCACCACTATTCTTTCACCATAGCTCGTATAAATGTCCCGAAGGACCTATCCAGAGGTCATAAAGAACCTCGACAACTGTCCATAGGTCCCGAAGAACCTAGGTAAACTGTCCATATGTTCCTTAGAACATAGGTATACTGTCCATATGTCCCGAAAAACATAGGTAATTCTGTCCATATGTCCCGAAAGCCATAGGTAATTCTGTCCATATGTTCCGTAGAACATAGGTAAACCCACGACTCTTGGCATGTCAACTATACCACTAGCTTTTATATCACATAACATGGGCATTATCATTTGTATCATTTCACACATTCACATGCACATTTAATTTTTCATATGATTTCATAATCATATGTCACTTTGCTTATAACACTTCTCTTGTTTTCATATGACATGTAAATCATTGTCATTTCTTGTTCTCATATGATTACCATACATCACATATATCACATTCATATCACATATTCATATAAGCTCACAGTTTTTATCACCTATCATGACATTTCATATAAATCATGTAACTCATATACTTTTCATATAACCATTACATACATACACACATACATGTCATCATTTATGTTTTTATCATACTCCTATAGTATTATCCTTCATCTCCCTTATCTCTTGTTCATATGATCTCTTACATTCATACAAAAACACATCAATACATATAGTCACGTAAATCACTTTTGCATAGCTTATATCAACTTTTCATGTCATCTCACACTTCTTATTATATTGCTTATATCTTACTCATATGTCTTCTCATATATATATATTCACATATACATATCATTTCATTATTTTCACCATTAATCCCTTTTACTTACCATATTCATATCAATAACACACATACGCATGCACACATATAAATCATAGTAAACACATACTTCTATGAATTCATGCATTTTACTATTGGAAATAGACTTATCATAATCTTATTTTCCATTGAACATCATATACTAAATAATGTGCACTCACATGTGCCTCACTTGCTATCAATTACTCCTATTGCTTACTTTCTCTTCTTGATCAATTATAACCTTTCAATCATTACGGAACTTGCTCTCGATCGATATCTACACAATCATGTATAAATATTAGCATTCTAAATACTATGCTTCGATCCTTGATTTCTTAAGCTATAAGAAAGATCTACTTCTATTTTTCCTTTGAAGTTCATCGGCACACTCTGTAGTGTATCGATACACTAATTACATTCGATATTTCAATTTCAAGGGGGTGCATCAATACACTAACTGTGCATCGGTACACTCATGGCATTCGATGTTTCCATTTTTAAGGGGTGTATCGATGCACTTCCTGTGCATCGATGCACATTAAATTATTTCTGGAATTTGCCCTTGATGCATCGGTACATATTGAATGTGTATCGATGCACACTAGCCCAAAATTCCATTTCGTGCATGAAAATCCACTCAAATGCTTCATCTTTCATCCCCTTTCATGTTCTTAACTCATATACACATGCTTAAATCAATTTATATCCATATAAACCATCTTTAACCTCAAAATTCTATCCCTCATATGTAACTCAAGAATTATACCAACTTTGCAACATATTTTAATTCCAATTCTATTGCTTCTAACTTCTTAATTAGACCATTGACAAGTCAAATTCAACTTCAAAATCTATTAACTCCTTCTATTTCAATATTTCACTTAAAATCTCCTTTTACTTAATCTCTTATAACTTGTTCATTTTGGAGTTTTAAGTCACCATAAATCTTCCCTTACTCTTTCTTATCACTCAAGAATCAAAAGAAACCATAAAATTGAAGAAACAAGCAAATTAAATCCAACTCACCTTATACATTAAGACACGGGAATAAGAAGAAACTAAACCCCATCTCTCCAGACTTTACTTTCCCATTTACACGTGGTTATCTCTTTTATAAAGAGATAATAAAAATATTTCTTTACAAAGACCAATTTATGCTTACCTCCTTACATATTTACCAAATAATCCTCAAAATATTCCTAATTAAGTCTCTGAACATTCCAATCTTTGGAAATTAAACTTCAAATTTCCAAAACTTACATTTAAGTCACTAGTCCTTATTTTGGGATATTACAAATCTCCCATCCTTTAAGAAAAATTCGTCCTCGAATTTTCAGTACACTACCTATACATATCTTCTAGTGCTCTTTATACACATTCATTACTTTATACATTCATCTACTGTCTCTTATCATATAAACAGTAACCAGAAATTTCAATCCATTTCTGTCTTTTCTCTCCTTCTATTCTGTATTTTCCTTTTACCATTTCTAAAATTTTATATAATGTCACTCATCACGTAGACAGTAACATCCATTTTTATCACTTAACCTCATAAATCCATCTCTAATTACCTTATAACAATTACCAAACTTGTTTTCCATCATCATTTGACCAAGAACACAACCTTAAATTGTTTTCCATAATCATTTGACCAAGAACACAACCTTAAATCTTCTTTAAATATGATTAAACATACACTTTAAAGAATCTTTTCACATCACCTTGCACACTTTTATTACTTCTATATCGAAATTATCATTTACACTTCCATATAACCTTTATCGTATCTGATCCTTTAAACTCAATCCTTTTCATTTCTTTATTCCATTATTCCTTTATTTACTCAAAATCGAAATCTCCTATACACAAATAATATCTTTCCTTTTGATGTTCACATACTCTTGTCCTATCACCTATACTCATCTCTGTGTACTAATCTTCATTGCATCCTCGTAACTTTGATAATCCAATTTACTTATACAGAACTTCATCTTTACCATCTTTTATACTTGTATTTTCATTCCTTAAAGCTCCATGCAATTACTTTTCTCCTTATCTACATCATAGTGATCTGATCAGAATACACAACTATATTCAGATCCACATCATAATTGATTAATTCTGGTACATTTTTATCACATACTCTGGTTAGCCAACGCTAACTCTTTCCATATTAACTGCAAACCCTTATCTTATACACACTCTTGCTTATATTCAATATTATCCCTTCGTTTCAAACTCATAAGCTCTGACTTTATACATCTTAAACGATTGTCACTAATACACTTATTCTTGAACTCTTCTACCAATTCTCACTGCATTATTTAATCTTTTAACGCTCTTATGGTGACACTTGTTCACCATATTCTATCTTATCCATGAAATAACAAAACAAATTCATATCACCTTTCCGATTCAAAACAATGAAAACTTTATATCATTATTCAGATATAATTTCAACTTTCTGAAATCAACCTTTAATCTTATAAGACACTTTCTGAGGTTTCCACTCTTCATCCTTCCTGGCCAGGGCAGGTGAATTGAAACTTTTCATGTCATCTCACACTTCTTATTACATTGCTTATATCTTACTCTTATGTCTTCTCATATAAATATATTCACATATACATATATTTTCATTATTTTCACCATTAATCCCTTTTACTTACCATATTCATATCAATAACACATATATGCATGCACACATAAAAATCATAGTAAACACATACTTCTATGAATTCATGTATTTTACTATTGGAAATAGACTTATCACAAGTCTTATTTTCCATTGAACATCATATACTAAATAATGTGCACTCACATGTGCCTCACTTGCTATCAATTACTCCTATTTCTTACTTTCTCTTCTTGATCAATTATAATCTTTCAATCATTATGGAACTTGCTCTCGATCGATATCTACACAATCATGTATAAATATTAGCATTCTAAATACTATGCTTCGATCCTTGATTTCTTAAGCTATAAGAAAGATCTACTTCTATTTTTCCTTTGAAGT